TGTTAGTCTTCTCTGTAAATTGAGAGCATAAACAGTACCTACCTTGGCAGATTGTTTTGAGGGTTACTATAGTTTGGATCTTGAATGTCCCCCAAAGGCCTATGTTTTGAAGACTTGGTCACCAGCTCATGGTATTACTGAAGATGGTGGAATCTTTAGAAGTTGGAATCTGGTAGGAGGAAGTTAGGTCATTGGGGGGAGGCCTGAAAGGAGATATTGGGATCACAGACCCTCCTCTTGTTCTCTTTTTATTAATGTGTATGTGGGGGGGTACTAGAGACTTAATTCAGGGGTGCTCTATCATTGAGCTACATCCCTAGCCATTTTTGTTTTGAGACAGGGTCTCACTAAGTTGCTGAGGGTTTCACTAAGTTTGCCCAGATGGGCCTTGAACTTGCAATCTTCCTGCCTCAGTCTCCTGAGTGGCTGAGATTACAGGTGTGCACCACTGCACCAGACCTCTTGTCTCTTTTGTTTCCCAGCTCCTCTAATTGGGCAGGTTCCTATGCCATGCATTTTGGTGATGATGAGCTACCTGGCCACAAGCCCAAAAGCAATAGGACCAACCAACCATGGACTGAAATCTCCAAAACTGTGAGCCCAAATAAACTTCTTCCCTTTTAAGTTGACTATCTCAGGTATTTTGTTACAGTCATGGAAAGCCAAATTAGACAAGGATTAAGTGAAATAGAGCAGGTAGAGGTTTTTGCAAGTAATGGCTGAATGAATAGAAATTGTGTCTCCCTGTTCCTTTTCCCCTTTGAGAGCAAACACACTTATAAGTATCTCAGGTATACACTTAAAGCAACACATTTTAAGTGTCTCAGGTAGACACTTAAAGCTTTATAATTTTTCAGCATTAAAGGGACTTTTCCACAAGGAGATAAATGTGTGGCAAGAAGCTATTCTTCAAGAAAAGCATTTTATGAAAGAATAAATGTTATATCAACTGTCAGAAAAAAATGTAAAGCAAAAAGAACTAAAGCAGCTGTCAAGAATTTTCTCCCTTGAATGGTAGTTTAGACTGAGATGGTGTGGGAGGACCGAGGTAGGCAGGGATGGGATGGGGTCTGGCTGACAAGCCTAAGAGGCACCAGCTCTGGCAGTGGACATTAGGAATCCAGGGGGTAGTGATTTGGGAATCAAATCTCCTGTGAGGTGTATGCCTATCTACGAATCAGATGGCCTGTGTTCCTATATAAAGTTGTGTTTTCCAATAGCTGAGGAGTTGCTTAGAGAGAGAAGTTCATTTTATGATTGGGGTTACCAACAAAGGAGGGAATTCGATGATAGAGAAGAAAATAATTTATTTCTTTGGTTTGGCTCATTCAATTAAGAAATAACATATGTGAAAGAAATGCCTTCTCTCTGGGCACAAAAGATTGGGTCTGCATTTTCCTTTGAGGTAGTAAATGTCATCTTTCCTTTTAAAAAACTGATGCATAATTGTACCATGTGATATTTCATATATGTGATCAAATCAGGGTAATCATCTCAAATGTTTATCATTTCTTTGCATTGAGCACATTCAAAATTCTCTAGTTATTTTGATATATAAAATTACTGCTAACCGTGGTGACTCGGCTGTGATATGGAACTCTAGAACTTATATTCCTCCTCTTAACTATAATTTTGTATCCTTTAACCAACCTTTCCAGGTCTGGATTTTTATAAAAGCCATTTATGCAAAGTGCACCACTAGGGAGTTAGTTGATGTGGGTCTAAAGGACATAAGAGGCATTCCTAGTAACTTTCTATAATATGAATGAACAACTTGAAAATGTTAAACACATTTACAAGAAGCAGCAGAAAAAATTTTAGTCAACTTTTAAAAATCACTAAACTGTGAAATCAGACAGTCAGACTCTGTTGTCTTACACCATGTCTATCTATCCATCTTTTCCTTTTTGACCTCATTTTTGAGAAATTTACACTGTCTGACCTGATATTAGTATTATTTTATTCTGAATCAGAAAAGGTAAGGAAACTGCATTTCAGAATTTCATTTGAGTCATTTGTGAAATTGCATCTTACAATTTGCCACCATTTCTAGCAGTTCTTTAACATTTTCTTTCTTGACTGGGTGTTCACGTTCATGCCTCCAGGGTCTAATTTCCCTTCTGGTTCACAAGAGAGAATTGCTTTAATCAGAGCTGGATTAAGACAGGAGTATTTATTCTTCAGGTTGTTTGATTTCAAGTGGATAGAACATTAGGAACCCAAAGTATGCAAGAGGTTTGTGTGAAATCCAAGTCCCTTTGAGGAACAGTCCACAGGACAAGTCATTTAACCTGTTTGTTTACAAATGTCAAGGAACAAGACTAAGATAAATGAGGGTGACTTATGGGAGAGGTGGCTGCAGATATTGATTGCTGAGGTGGTTCATTTAAACTGCGGGTCAAAGAAACGTGTCCCGTGTCCTGGACACCCAGATATTAGGTCATATCTACCTTGCTGCTTTTGTCCTTGATCATTTTATTGAGGATTGTATTCAAACACAGGTCAGTAAAGAATAAGTTATGTAAATATGCTCACAGGTGGTCAGGCCTAGACCACAATTTGGCAAAATTTCATTCAACAATACCTGGGCTCTATGGGACAGAGAGGTCTTCATGTATGTACCAAAGAAGGAAAACATCACGTGGTAACAGTGGAAAAGCATGGGATTAGCAGAGGAGCAGGAAAGCTTGAGTTGTAATTTTTCATTTTAGCATATGCATGTGGGTGAACTCACAGGAAAAAAAAAAAAAGTCAGGTTCAGTTTCCCTATCCATAAAACAGGGATAGTCCCCGGGAATCTGTGAAGATTAAGGGAAATGAAAATGAACCAACCTGGCAAGTCTGCCTGCTGTGGCACTTCAGCACAGCTATACTTCCCGGATAGAGCAGGAGCTTACCTCACAGGTGGCAGGAGGTGTTGAGGCAGGGTTTGTATGCAGGAGGGTTAAGGTTCTGCACAGAGGAGATGTGCCAGCTATCTTTATTTGTGATCAAGTGCAGGTATGGTAAGGAGGTAAATAGGGCCTCATGCCCTGTCCTGGGTTCAAGTCCTTGTCAGCCAGTGACAAGCCATGTAATCTTAAATAACTCACAGCCTTCCTGAACATCCATTTTTTTCAACCATAAAATGGGAATAATTAATAGTAGAATTTTTACTTTATATATTTGTTGTATCTAAACCTGTCTATGAAGCCACTCTTGCTACTGGGTTCTTTTCTTTTCATGTAGCTTCAGGTAGCTGATATAAGCTCTGTGATTCTCAGTGTCTCATCTGAAAAGTGGGGTCAATAATATCTATTTACAAACCTGGTGTGAGGATTAAGTGAAATTCTGTGCTAGTGCTCAGCATACAGTGTGGCATGATGTAGGTAGCTGATAGATGGCAGTTTTCCTTACCCTCACACCGTTTTTTCCTTGCCTATTGGCTCATGACTGAAATTCCTTCATTACAGTTTCCATCCCAGAGGTATTAAGTTAACAAGCAAGTACCACCTAATAGAACTGGCTATCATTTGAAATTTTTCTTTAAGGTAGAAAAGAGGAAGGAGCACATGGGTATGGGACTATCTAGAGAGACACCCCAGATGGGGTTGGGGAAGCTGAGATTGGCAAAAATAGAACATCTTGGCCTTTACAAATTTTCACCAGGTGAAGTGCACCAGCTATCCACTCTACTGTACAAACTAACTTCGGTGCCTCAGGATTAGGGAACTGTCTTACAATCTGAAAGAAACCAGAACTCTTGGCTTTAATGAAAATTGGATGGGGGTGGGGTACAGTAGAGACTTGATAAACTCCTCCATATTTGAAGCCTTCTTTACTACCTGTGGACCTCATTCTTATAAACACAGAGCACAGAAGGGTCCTTCGAAGCTATGTTTGGCTAAATCCCAGTTGAGGCTGGCCCTGTAAAAGGTTCCTTCCAAATGGCCCCTTGGTGTTCCTCCATTAGAGATACAGATCCCATCAAGAACCATGTCCCAGGGCTGGAGCTGGAGCTCAGCGACAGAGAGCTTTCCTAGCATCTGTGAGGCACTGGGTTTGATCCTTAGCATCACATAAAAATGAAACAAATAAAAGCATGCTGTCCATCTATGACTACAAAAAAAAAAAAAAATTAAAACAAACAACCCCCATCCCCAAACCCAAGTCCCAGCCCAAGTGTAGTGGCCCTGGCCTGTAATGCCAGTTACCTGGGAGGCTGAGTCAGAAGTTGTCAGCCTCAGCAATTTAGCAAGACCCCCATTTCAACAAATAAAAAGGATTAGGGATGTAGCTCAGTGGTAGAGTGGTTGCCTAGCATGGGTTTGATCCCCAGTACCAAGTCTCTTATGCCGTGTGTGGATGGTTTAACTATCAATTAGGCACAGGTGTGACACGGGGGGGGGGCGCGGGCTCCCACTGGATTATGGGACATCCAGCCGTCAAAAGCTGACTTGAAGCCTGCTCTTTCTTAACATCTAGAGATAGTGAGGTTCCTAGTCTTCACCCAGTGGAGTCACAGCCAGTCGGGTGAGGAGAATCGGAGATGCCAGCAGGGGGCGCACGAGACCCTCTCCAGGAGAGAGGGGTGAGCCGAGACCAAGTCTATGAAGAGGGGCGCAGCCCCGGCGGAGGCACAGATTTTCCCGTCGGTGAGTTAGTGAAGACACCTGGGATCTTAGATCTAGCCCCGAAGGCCCTCCTAGCCAGCCTCTGGGATGTGAGAGTTCATGTCTGCAGCAGTCCATGGCTTTGCCTCTCAGCTTGCTGCTGGGGATCTAGCAAATCCACAGCCCTCTAGTTTCACTCCTAGGGATTTATTTACTTATTGCTGTGCCGGGGATCCAACCGAGGGCCTCCACTCGCCCCACGCAAGCGATCTACCACTGAGCTACACCCCTGGGGTTCCCCCACCCAAGTGCAATACTGGATTCTTACAGAGCCAGGAATGTAATGATACCCACGTGGGTTCTGGTTCCGAGACAGCATCCATAACGTGAGACCCGCGACCTGTAGCATCAGTCCCAGTAGCAGGCGGGACCTGATTAGAAATGCTCATCCCCAGTCTTCACGTCGGCCCTCCTGCATCTGAGAGTCTAGGCACAGGCAGGGGGAACCCGGTCTGCGCTTCACGACCCTTGCGGGGAACCCTTAAGGCGGCGCCAGGGCCAGAGCCCCTTCTCCGGGGCCGCCCCCTTTGTGGATCTCCAGGCAGAGCTCCCGGTCCTCCTACCGTCTCCCGCTCGTGGTCACGTGAGCTCACAAACTAACCCCCACACCCTCTTCTCGGTGTTTAAAAGGAAGAAGAGGCTCCTGGTTAAGTCGTGGGCGATCTCTCCAGCTGCTGGCCCTTTTGACAGTCTCTGCGCCCCTGCCGCGAGGCCGTGGGAAACGCCGAGGCTGCAAGAACCACCTCTGGACACTTGCAGGGTGGAGAGGTGGCCGCCAGAGCTGGGGCGAGAGGGACCCTCGTGTGTGGCGACGGACATTCCTGGCATCCGGGGCTGCTGGTAAAGGCTGGCGACAGGGCAGGGTTGCGAGTTGCGCTCACTTTCTACAGCAGGTGGCCGGGAGCCAGCTCCGGGAGTGGAACTTCTCCTAGGAAAGCACGTGTGGATATTTTAGAGAATGCAAGGCCGGCGTGTTTACCTGTAAGGTAGGTGCCCCCTTCGTCAAGGTGTGATTTAATTGTCATGACTTTGAAATTCTGCGGTGAGAAACCAGTAATATTGTGTGACCAATAAAAGTAAGACAAATCCAACCTCCCCCACCCACCCCGGGGCCGGGGATCAAAAGCAAGGGTAATCTACCCCTGAATTTTAAAGCCCAGCTTTTTAATTTTTAAATTTTGAGACAGAATCTTGCCAAATTCCGGAGGCTGGCTTTGAATTTGCAATCCTCCTGCCTCAGCTTCTGGAGCTGCTGTGATTTCAGGCGCGTGCCGCCACTCTGGGCTCCAGCCTTGGAAACTACTGGTAACAGAAGTTTTGTGCTTTGATTACATATCTTCACTTTAGACGCCAGCAAGTTAACTTACTCCGTTTGTGCTTATGATTTTCTGGTTGGGTGTTATAATATAAATGTCTTTTAAAAAGAAAAAAGAATCCTGTTTTGTGTTTTTCTTTTTGGTCCTCTATGATTTCCCCACTGTGGGTGAAATGAATACAGTGGACTTCAGCATGACGCTTCCCGCTTGAGTTTTATGAACCGGGAGAGTGCATGTCTCAGGCAGACAACCAGTGCTTTAAAAATGTGTTAACCGACGTTTCTCAGCCATATCAGAAATAGGTTTACTTATTTACTGGGCAGAGGGAACGACATTAAATCTGGTCTCTTATTTGCTGAAGAGGAATCCAACTGTTGCCTCCTCACACTTTGCATTATCCACGGTGTCATATTGAAGTACAAAATCAGGTCAAGTGAATATTACTTTTAAGGAGCTTTGACTTTGAGTGGAATTTTGTTTAGGAAAGTAAGGTTGACTTAGTTTTATCTTCTTCTGAAGAGTAGGTTTTTGTTTTGGTGTAGTATGCAGCACTTTGGAGAAAAGATATTGCCTTTCTTTGTTATAGTTCTAGTATTCCCATGGGCATTCCATTAGAAATTTTTATGTCTGCTGTAAGTTTCTAAACTCACAATGGCTATTTTCCTTTTTTTGTGTGTGAGAAAGATGTTTGTTATTTTAAAAGTGAACATGTGAAAGAGAAGGTGTGTACTTGGATTTGGTTATTAGTGGATGTATTGTGACCATGAAAAAAAAATGATATATTTCTTTGGCTTTTCCCCCCTCTGGAGAAAAATCTCTATTTCTACATACATTCTAGAAGGGGGGAAATGTAGATTTCTTCATCATTAGGTGTGCAGACATAAGCTTTAGGATTCCTGTTTTGCATTCATTTCTTTAGATGAATCTAAAACACTCTTATTTGAAAGTAATATCTTATAGCATTTAAGTCTTGCTTAAGGCATATAAATCTTTAAAATCAATTAAAAATAACACATTTCATGGTTTTGAGGGTCTGGAATGAATCTACCTTTTACATTTTAAAAATATATTTATAATACCGATAAGTCAAAACAGTAAATTCAACTTATAAAAATATAATTAGCATTTAAAAGATATTGAAATGTCCCTTTTGAGGAACAAGACTGCAATTTTCTATAAATGTGTATCTAACAGGTAATGATTCAAAATACATCCTATGTTAATTTTATTTGTTCTGAGTAATTTTATGAAACATATGTATGAAGATATATAAAATATCGAAGACTAACCTTGAATCATTTACTGGTAAATTATTATGTCTAGAGACCTTGAGAACTGTTTACTTGAATATTTGGCTTCATAATTCAATCAAGTATGTTGTTTTAGACATAATGACATTTGAAAAAAATTCAGACTTAGTATTGTTTACATGCAGTTATATTTGGCCTTTTTAGGTGTGTCACTGTATGAATTATGACTGAAGGAGTTCTCATTTTGGAAGATAATGTGAACATTTTTTTGTTGATGTTTTGTGTTTTTTCTTTTTTTGGGGGGTGAGGTGCTGGGGATTGAACCCAGAGGTGCTTTACCACAGAGGTACATCCCCAGCCCTTTTTATTTTTTATTTTGAGACAGGATCCCACTAAGTTGCTTAGGCCCTCACTAAGTTGCTGAGGCTGGTCTTGAACTTGCCACCCTTCTTCCTCAGCCTCCCAAGTCACTGGGATTTCAGGTGCATACTATGGTACCTAGATCCTGTATACATTTTAAATAGGTGTATGTAAATCGAGTATTGATGATCAGTTCTATGGTTGTTTTAGAGTAATTTTTCTTTATTCTAATTAATATTAAATTGATTGATGGCCTTACCATTTTGCTTTGGAAAAGATACATTTAAAACTCCTGGTTGCCAAACAGATAAATATATCAAGGATGCTCAGTCCTTAAGAAATGTATTTTTAAATCTTTTCCTTGAAATTTCTTTTAGTTTTTTTTCCCCCTTCTAGCTTTTGCTTTGTGAGTGTGAATTTATGACTTTTGTGGGGCATACAAATGTAGAGTGTTTGAATGGAATGCTTAGGGACTGTGATGCACAGGTGGGAGAAGAAAGGGGATGAGTTAGCAAAGTCCTCTCAGTCTTCAGGATTGAGAATGTAGCATCAGGGGCTGTGCATTTTATTTATACATACAAAGTTGACAGGTTACTTAGCAGCCTAGCTATCTGGACCGGTGATAATGGACTTCTATTCAATAGAAATGTAGGAAGTAAAATTAGGAGGCAAAAATATTTGGGGTGGCAATAAGTCATTTTATCTTAAAGGGTCTGGAAATTCTATACCATAGCTACATTCAGTGGGCATGCCAATAGACTGACTTCCCTCTCTTGGATGTGTTAATACCTAATAGAATGCTTTCACATACAGCATTTCATTTTCTCCTCAGAGAACTATGAAAAGGTGCAGCCCATATAAGCCCCCATTTTTAACTGAGGAAAACGTGGAAGCTCAAGTCATTTATGTGTTTTGTCTAAGACATCTGGCTTTCAGGCAGAGCTGAGACCAAGACCCAGTGTCTGCTGGGTGGTGCTCTCAGCCAGAATATACATAAAAACAGGCTCCGTTTTGACTGATTTCTTATTCTTTAGCTAGATTTATAGGTGCTTTAATAAAATCAGTTTATTATTTTTGGAATGTCTTCCTACTATTTCTAGGGCTGACCTTGGTCTTCTCCATAAAACCACTACCAATACTTGGGATTTTAAAAACTTTTAAGTTTTTTTTTCAGTTTGAGAACCATAATGTGTTCCCCAGCCAGTGCCTTAGGATACCATGCATAATTCCATGTATACAGAAAACTTTTCTGATGAACAAAGATGGGACCTGAGAGGGCCAAACAGGTGTGTGTGTGTGTGTGTGTGTGTGTGTGTGTGTGTGTGTGTTGTGCTGGTGGAATGGGAAAGAAAAATCTCTGGATGGAAGACAGGCTTTCACCCCAAAGGACATGGATCAATCATTTTAGGTTATGGTTACTAATTAAAGAGGATTGTCATAAACGTAATGAGTAATTCTAGAATGTCAGGTTTATGTTCTTTTCTTGGCCAGCTAAACCTCCATGCCTTCCAGGCCCAACAATTAAACTTGTTAGAGAGTATTTTTCCCTATTCTACCAGATATTGTGGTCACTGAGGCCATGCTTGACCTCAAATGATGTGCTGAGAGAATTCCACATTACAATGTTGAAGAAATTGGATCTTTTGAGGATTCTTTCCTTTAACCATTTTGTATCTCCATTTTAGAATAGAAGTACTCAAATAACCAGAATGGGTTTGTTCATTTAGTTTTATAGACCTTTGGTGGAGAAGGCTCCCCTTATGCTGCCTGTGTTCCTATTTACTGCAGTGGTTTAAGTTCATCATCCCTTGTTATGGCTTGGCTTAAGAGAAAAGCACTATGCATTGGCTACCAAGTTTACTAATTTCCCAAGATGCTTTGAGAAATAGTTGTCACATGAATCTGGATACATCCAAAAACTATCCAACCAAATAATAACTTGCTTTTTTATGATCACTCAGTAATCAGTTCTCTAACATTAATTGTCATTGTGCTGGGGATGTGTAGAAATTCTAGAGAAGTTGGGGATAAGTTAACATGTGAGATCTGTATTTTCTAGACAAAGTCATCATAGTACCTGATTAATGGCCTGGATGTATCTTGGGGTTTGCCATTTGTTGGTGTGTGTCTAACAGGTCATTTTAGCATCAATGGACCAACATTTTAGTAACAGGTGAAAATGAGTGATGGAATTGATTCTCTACCCCAGAGGAAGATGTCCTATTCTTTTAAAACTTTGTGTTCATTTTCCAATTAGATAATGGCAAGTGTTATTTCAGGATCATGAATTGCCATGTGACTGTTCTTTACTTTGTGTCAGTTTTTAAGAAGTCTGATGAAAGGAAAAGATGGCAGAGGTTTTTCTGATAGTTTGAGGTGTTGGCTCTGCTGAACTGCTTATGCTAAAGTGCTAATTACATTTCTAATGGGAGATGTAAAGTTGAGACTATCTGAAATTCAGTTAAACCTTGGTTGACCACACATTCATAGAATGTTTTCTTTGTGAAGCCATTTAATTAAAATTTTCATTAATTTTTATTAACTTGAAGTCTTCTATTCAAATTCCTCTAAAATTCACTATTTTCTTGCTTTATAATTTCCTGTATATAATTTAATCTGATGATTGAGAGTGTTGTATTTGTCCTTATATAAGTTTATATTGAGCAGTACTTTGTATAAGAAAGAATACTAACCATAGTGACCTTACTAACCTTTGAACATGCTTTTTATTCATTAATTAGGTTGGCCATCTTATTTTTATACTTTTTTAAAGTTCAAGATATATAATATTACCTCCAGATTACATTATATTATGCATTAATGCAATATGTTTTATGCTACCTTAAGTATCTTGCTCTCAATTATTACCATGTATTCTGTTTAAATTTTGTTGTTGAAGTATTCTGAGTGTGTTTTCATTAAATATTTGGCTATATCAGATATGCTCAGATCATATAGCAGAAACAGTGCACTAAAATATGATTGCTAAGGTAAGTTTTGAAAACAAAAGCACAGTGAGCAGATGTATGTGTAGATGGATTTAAATATGAGACATATTTT